TCTTCTTGCTGAGCCCTCTGTTCAGAGCCATGGCGAGGTGTCGGACGTCATCAACGACGACAACCGCCACTTAATCCAACATTACTTAGAGGTCATCAAGGGCTACTCCAAAGTAGACGACCGCGCGAAAGAGTCCAGCAATCTGTTCGTCTCGGCGTTCACGCAGTCGCTCACATTTCCACCTCTTCTCTATGCTATACTGGCTTTCTCGGCCTCCCACCTCTCAATCAATGACCCGACTTATTGCGATGGAGCCTCCAGATTCAACCAGCTGGCCGAGGAAACCTTTTGTCAATACAGAGAGACTCATGCAAAAGAGATTGCAAGTCTTCTCTCAGCCCTTTTCATCCGGATCAAACAGCTTCATGTCATGGGTGGCAGTATCGACGCTCTCTTCGATCACATGACGGAGGTTGTCGAAATTGTATCGACCAAAGAATGCGAAAGGGCGCCAGCTGACCCAAACAGTCTCGTCCGACGAATAGTCCTTCGTCTCGCTCTGCTAGACGCGCGCGGTACATGCTTTCGATTGGGACGTGGTAAGCTTGTAAGAGCTCTCGAAAGAATACCTGCTTTGTCGTTCCTTTTCGCTTTCAACACCTCCGTCGTCTCTACTCCGTCTTATAGCCTACTTCGAGCAGACATTCTCCGCCACAGAATTGGTGAGATTGATGCTAGACTTCACGATCAACTCGAGGCAGAGTTTGCCAGTAGCGCGCCTGTAAGAACTGCGGAGATCAAGTTACTCTACGAGAACATTCGGAGGGAGCTTGAGCGCTGCGACCGTGATAGCCCTCGGTCGACGGGAGCCCAGGCTTCTGATATCTCAACGAATGAGGTTCTTGGCACAGCCGAGTACAACTATCATATAATTTCATCGGCTCTGCACTCAGCCATTTTATACCTCTCACAAGTCTACGTAAGTCAACTCCTATGTTACTCTGGATGGGTCCGTTCTCACGTGGTGTAGCCGATGCCAATCTTTGACGTAAATCAATCAATATCCAACATCCTCCGGCATCAACTCAGGATCCAACACGACCCATCGCGAGCCAACTCGCCGCCGTCCATCCTGCCTTCCTCGATGTTCTTAGCCGGCTTGTCTACCACGGACCCCATATACCGTGACTGGGTCATCAAAACGTTGCGAGAGGCAGAACCTTGGGGTGTTTACATCAAGAAGATGAGATTGCTTCTGGAGGCAATTCACACCATGCAAGCTGGCGGAAAGAAGGTTCATATTTGTGACGCCATGGATCAGGTCACTGGTAGGTTCTTGATGTAGCTTATGTTAAGAAATCCTTCGGGCTCGCACCATCACCTCGATCACTTACGTATATTATCTCGGTCACCGAACGGTCTTCGAGAATATGTGGTTCTCATGTGACACATCGAATGCCAGAATGTGATGTCATCTCGACCTCAGATCTACGTGTCCCCGAGAAGACAGTTACTTAAGGCAGCACTTGTAAGATGGCTGAACAGGCAAAAACAGGAACCTTTATTCATAGCTAAAACACCATATCTTTGAATTTAAAAGCAAGCGGATTGAAATACCCCATAGCCCCAAACCTCAATCATGGCCTACGGCGTTGCATCCCGATTAGCCAGCCGAGCGGCTCTCCGACCGGCCGCATCCGCTCTTCGCACGGCATCAGCAGCCTCCGCCCCGCTTACCCGGTCTTTCACGGCATCGACCCCGGCGGCCTCCACAGCCACCCCGCGACCAAAGGTCATGCTTGAAGATGAGAACGGCTACGGTTTCATCAGGCACAACCCGCGGGACCCCAAGCCCCGCACAAAGTCGGTGACGGAGATCCGAGGTCCTTACTACTCGGTCATGGGCAAGCGATATCTTGAAGATGTTCTCGAGACGTGAGTGCACCCCCGACGTACCTCAAGAAGGTTCTGTATCTCACACTCACTCCCAGGATGGGTCATTATGTGGATGGCCTCAAATTCGCCGGCGGCTCCTTCTCCCTATTCCCAGAGGACAAACTCAAGGAACTCATCGACCTAGCCCACCAACATGACGTCTACGTCTCTACGGTGCGTACCCTCTCACTCCTCAAATACCCTAGCGAGACAAAACAAGAACACTTGACCTAACAAATCCCAGGGCGGTTGGATCGAGCACGTCCTAACCCAATTCGCCCCCCTAACCGCCGTCGAGCGCTACCTCGAAACCTGCAAACGCCTCGGCTTCGACGTCATCGAGCTCTCCACCGGCTTCCTCTCCCTCCCGCCGTCCGACTGGCTGCGCCTCGTCGAGCGCGTGCAGTCCTTCAACCTCACCCCCAAGCCCGAGATCGGGATCCAGTTCGGCGCCGGCGGCGACACTTCATCCGCCGGCCTCGAGAGCATGGGCAGCCAGTCCAACCCGTCCAAGGTCGTCGACCTCGGCAAGCGCTTCATCGACATGGGCGTCGGGCGCATCATGATCGAGAGCGAGGGCATCACCGAGAACGTCGCGTCCTGGCGGACGGACGTGATCCAGAAGATCCTGCGGGACCTGCCGATGGAGAAGGTCATGTTCGAGGCGGCGGACCCGGCGGTGTTTAACTGGTATGTGAGGGAGTTTGGGGTTGATGTGAATCTGTTTGTGGATCACTCGCAGATTGTGCAGTTGAGCGGGTTGAGGGCTGGGATTTGGGGGATGGCGGACACGTTTGGGAAGATTACTACTTTCCGATGAACGAAATCCAATCTTGAAGGGTTCTTCTCAAATACTCTCCCAGGTTAAGGAAGTTTCGTAGTGAGAGATTCCGCAGCAGTATTCTCCGATGATACTGCCGTAGAAGTTTAATCAAGCGTGTTTTTGAGCTACTAAGAGCTGCCTGAAAGCTTGCTGCCAGTCGAAGGTATTACCTCAGATTCGGCTCACCATAATCCGAATGATGCGGGCAGCTCGCGGCCGCACATGCGTTTGATTTTCGAAACCGAAGCTGAGGAAATAAAGCCGTTCACGATGTTGAAGTCGCAGACGGCAGAATCCAGCCGTCCCCCCATCGTGTGCGTATATCGAGACCAACGAGTCCACGCGGCCGCCGACTGGTGATAGTTTCAACCCCCAAAACGCCCCGCCTTGCACTCCTCCACCCTCATGAAATTCCTATCATGCAAAATTTGGCGCTCAAAAACAGTAGGAATGTGTGCAATAAGCATACGCGTTCACGCCCATCAAACCTCCCATCCGGCACTCCTCTCCCGAGCCCGGTGCGGTATCGCTAACCACACCAAAAGGCCTCGTCATCACGCCTCCCCTCCCGTTCCGTGTTATCCGGCGCCTCACCCGACCACACGGCCCCGACCGCCGCCTTCCGCCCATCCGTCGACCGGCCAGGCTCCCACAAAGTGAACCCCGGTCCCGACTCGGCCAACCCCAACCCCCCTTTTCCTCCCATTCTCCATTGTAGAGAAGTTCCAGACGCCCATCGCACAGGAATCTAGACCTGTTCCATGCTCCAACTTCCAGCGGAGCCGCCTCACTCACTCCAAACAACCCACACCTCGGCATATCACGATCTCATCTGCACACCCTTCGCTGCACTACAACAGAAACGTCCCCCTCAGGGTCTCACAGTCGTTCGAGACGGTGGATTTCCGTTACATACAAACCCTTTCCAGTGGCTCCCCCCGTAGGAAAAAATTCCAGAACGGAGCTAAAGGACCTTCGCTCAGGGGCTAAAATCAGGCCAAGCTTTCTCGGTCCGCCAATGTACTTGGCGCACTCACCCCAGGGGGGACAAGAAAGAAAAGTCGCGACATCAGGCTTAATGACGTAGCGACCAGATGAACATAAGAGGAAAATGTAGATAAAACGCGAAAAAAAAAAAAAGGCCCAAATAGGACCACAAACATGGCACGATGGGCCCCCAATCCAACCCAATATCCTGCGATCGAATCATGCCCGCCAATAGGAACCCGTCGGAGCATCTAACCGGAGTCGAGGAGCCTCCGTCTGTAACAACCGCGCAAATTGAAATCGAAATGAGCCGCCGTTTTACTACCACTACACCACTAAAAAAAATCTAATCAATCACATACACCCATCCAGATTGAAACAAACCACCCCAAGAGTTCATCGTCATCCATCCTTCAATTCCCCCAATCCACCATCGGTTCTCCCAATTCGCCCCCAAAGCCATCATCCGTCCCCTCATCCGTCCCCTTCGGATGAAGAAAAGAACGTTCTTCCAGGAATTCAATCCCCCAAAATCCCGCGTATTGCTCCTCCTCCCATCGCAGTGGAACCCCGGACCACCGTTGCGAAATTGCCACACCCGAGTTTATTCATAGAGTTGGGCAACGTCCCCACCCTCATCCAACTTCAGATAAATTACCACACCTTGGCGACCGCAACAGGGGACCGTCCGTTTGTCAAAAGCCCGCACAGTCTGCGACGGGGGCGTGACGCGCAATCACCCCGCGGCAGGCCTGAGTGGATTTGCTTAGGCTCGGCGAGAGAATTGCCGACAGGAGATCCTCGTCGAGCTGGTCATCGTTGGTTGCTAACTGAGCTTTCGGTGACGGATACGAAAAAACACATCTTACTTGTTTTGGTTGGTGATGGCTCCAAATTCGTTAGTGGTCACAATCATTCTACATCACCATTGAAAGTCCGTGGTCAAAGTATTTAGAACGTGTAAGTTGGGTATATTTATCCCAGTATCAGCGAAAGCTTTCCTGCTCTACCTCTCGGCAGCTTTTGTGTAAAGGCCAGAATTACAAAGGTGGCTAGACCCAAAATGTTTCTCCAGCGTGGGGAAGTGAAAGCGAATGGTCTAGGGAATCCAAAAGTCGGTTCCCTAGACATGAAGAAATAATAATGTACGCCGCCCATTGCCCTTTGCCCTTTCCTGAACGCCTTACTGTGCAGCATAGTACTCATTTAATGTACGTGCGGCCGTGAATGCTTGTAAACATGCAAAGCATCTCCCATGTCGCTCCCGACTCCGCTTCTCTTGATCCGTATGCAGTGACTCCACGCGAGCTAGAGCTCAGATGACGAGTCCCTTGCCGATGCCCTGTACTGTGAAGCCCAGCTTCTCAAGCTCGGGTCCGGAGACGACGTTACGTCCGTCAAGCACAAGGCGAGGGCGCTTCATGACAGAGGCGGTCCACTCCCAGTCGATCGGGTCGCCGAGGTCTTCGCTCGCGGCGTCAAAGTTGCAGCCCTTGCAGTTTTCAGGGCAGGCGTTCTCGGGCTTCATGCGCTTGAGGGGGTCGACCGGTGTGTGCGAGGCTCCGCGAGAGACGAACTTCTCAAGCTCGACGACGTCCATCTCAGACAAGGGCGCCTCCTTGATGAAGGTAGCAGCCTCCTCCTTGGAAGCCTCGTTGCTGCTCCACATGGAAGAGCGGCGAGCAGAAGCCTGGGCCTTCTTGGGGTAGCGGAAGTGGTACCAAGGGGTCAGAATGCACATGGCACTGGAGCCGTGGACAGTCTCGCGCCACGTGGAACGGACCTTGACGCGATCCAGAACGCGCTGGTCCTTGATAGAGTGGCGAACCTCATCCATGACCTCGACGGGGTCACAACCGGGGTCGAAGATGGCGATCTCGCTGGGCATCTCGTGGGCGAGCTCCGCAATAATGTGGACAGCAATGCTGTTGCGGGTGTCGTTGGTGTTCTCCTTGAAAGCGAAACCAAGAATGGCGACCTTCTTGCCGCGGAGGTTGCCGTTCAGAGCCCGGTGGACCTTCTGAGCGAAGCGCTCACGCTGGTACTTGTTGATATCAAGGACGCCCATCCAGTAGTCGGCAACGGTGTCCAAGTGAAGAGTGCGAGCCATGTAGGTCAAGTTGAGGATATCCTTCTCAAAGCAAGAGCCACCAAAACCGACACCAGCGTGGAGGAACTTCTTGCCCAGGCGAGAGTCAGCGCCAATACCCTGGCTGATCTCCGAGACATCGGCACCAAGCTCTTCGCAAAGGGCGCTGATGCTGTTGATGCTGCTGATACGCTGAGCCAGCATGGCGTTGGCAACCAGCTTCGTCAGCTCGCTGGACCAGGTGTTCACGGTCAGAATCTTGGACTCGGGGACCCAGGAAGCGTAGACGCCCTTCAGAGCGTTGGCAGCACGAATGCCAGCAGGAGTCGTAGAGCTGCCGATGAGCATGCGGTCGGGGTGCATGAGGTCGCGAACGGCCGTTCCCTCGGCAAGGAACTCGGGGTTGGAGACAATCTCGAATTCGGCATCGGGCTGGTATTGGGCCATCTGTTCCGGAATTAGTCACTGCCCCAAACTTTCCTGCATCGTGCTCCCTTGCGGCTCTGTCCCGAGAACCCGGCTTGTGGGGGGAAATCCGAGTGCTGTGCCGCAAGGGGCTGACTGGCGCCCATTACGGTCGCACGTGGGAAAAGCAACTTGCTCATGTCATCACCGGTGTACTTACAATCTCCTTGATCATGCGGGCAGTTCCCGTAGGAACGGTGCTCTTCTCGACAATAACAGCGCCGGGTCTAGCGTACTTGGCCACGGTCTCGCTGGCACCCTCGAGAGCGCTCAGATCGGCGGTGTAGCCAGCTCCGAGACCATAGGTCTTGGTAGGCGTGTTGACGCAAATGAGGACAATGTCGGCCTCACCAATGCAGCGCTGAACGTCGGTGGTGAAAACAAGATTGGGCTTGCGGGAGCCGAGCTTGAGGGACTTGCCAATGGCGGGGAGGAAGGCGGTCGTCTCGTTGGTGCCATCGCGGGCAATGCGAACAATTTTTGGGAGGCCGGCCTCGTGTATGGGAAGGTGAGGAGAGTTCCACGCAGCAATGCGGTCGGAGTTGAGGTCGACGACATTGACAGTCAGGTCGGGGTTGTGGAGAGCTACCAGAGCAGCAGTTGGGCCACCTGCGAATGTGGTTAGCTCGATCTTGACTCAGTCGAATACGAGTTGTCGATTTGACGACGTGGAAGCGGCTGCGGGTGTAAGTCGCTGGCGCGGCTGCTCGCGGCTCAGACTCGCAGAGCTCATGATGATGACTACGGCCACTGGAGATGCGCTGTAGATGCAGAGCAGTCCTTGTGTGCAAGGACATAGCGTAGCCAGGATGGAGGGTCGACGAGAGTCATGTTAGGGCAAAAGAAAGGAGAGTGAAGCTGACAGCTGCCACCCGTGCGTTACTTACCAACGAAACCAGCACCAACGAAGCAGATGTTCTTGACGTCCATGGGAGGAAGAGGCTCGAGGTCGGCAGAGCTCGTCGTCGCGTTCTTCAGCTCAGGGCTGCGAGGTCTGGAGGCGGGAGGAGAAGAGTTGGGAGTGCCGGTGCCCGAGCCGGCATCAGAGTGGCCCGGGGTGCCGTCGGCGGGTGATTGGGAAACCATGCTGCCGATGGTTGAAGACGAATCTGCGGTAACGAGGCCTGCGCGCGCGAAGCTGGCAGCCATCGATTAACTAGCTCTGCTGGACAGAGCCGTCGGTGAATGCAGTGGGCAAACGGGTTGTATTTCCCGAATGGCTGATGGTAACGACTGGCGTTGAGTTCGAGGCAAGGTGGCGGTGGTGTGTTGTTGATTTTGTGTTTCCGAAGAGGAAACCGGTGGATTAGAGAGGCTTTTGTGTAGACGTCGATGTTGTTTGGGACTGGAAAGCCAGGTGTGCGGGCGGATATTCCGGTCTAAGTGAAACGAGCGGAATGATGATTGACGTTGGGTGATTGTGCTGTCTATTTGAGGCGGCGAGAGTGGCCTTTTTGAGTGTGGAGAGCTGGTGCTGGGGATTGATGAAGTCCTGCGGACCAGGTGTGTTGCGGATAGGAGGAGAAACCGGTCTGGTCTGAATCCCTGGTCGACGCCTGAGAGGGGAGGGGGGGTTCAGGAAGAGAGAGAAAAAAGCGAGACGGGTTTCTGAAAAGTCGAGGAGCTGATTTCCCTTGCTTGGCTTGGCAATCGATCTTTGCTTCCTTTTTAAAGTGGCTTCTCAGACGGGGTCTCTCGCTCTGGTGAATTGAGGGACGTGAGTGACGGCCGGAGCAAATTCACTGGACTGGGCGGGAATCGGGAGAGTGGGTGCGGCGGGTATTGTGCGTATTGGCGTATGTAGACGTAAGACGCGGTACAGCCAATGTGGTAGACGTGGGAGCGAAAGTGGGATTGAACAGTGACACTAACGCTCAAACCGGGTTCACATGGAGGTGGCGCCCGTTGTAAGAGGTTGTAGATGCTGATCTGGATCTGGAGCTGGAGGGTAGCGAGCGATGCGGCCGGAGAGGTGAGATCAGTGTCTTGCGCGCCCGAGGTGAATTCCAAGGGAAGGGCGGGATGTCCGGGTTTAAAGTGTTGTTGATTGATGCGCCTGAAAGGTGGGCAAAAAAAGAAGAACAGTTCAGGAGGGAGGCGTGGAGCGAGCGGCAGGTTTATTGAACCCGGGGAATCATTCAATCTCCAACGAAGGTGACGGAATAGTAGCAAAAGCAGCAGGCAGGTGGACGTCTAGACGAGTACACGCGGGTAACAGCAAGCAACGAAGCGGGCTGGGAGTGGGAGAGGGCGGGCAAGGCCACAGGGGCTCTTTCTTGATATATCCTCAAGGTCTTGGCTCTTCTTATTTTTGCCTGCGTCCCTCCTTCTCGACGGTGCACTCGGCGCTTTGCAGAGTGTACCTACCGTATTGCTGTAGCACTACGAATAGTACGCAGTAAAGTACTCTGTAGGAGAGTAAGTACCTTATTCAGTGTACGGAGCAGATACTGTGGGTTGCGGGCCTGGGACCGCTGAATTGGACGGTGGGAAAGGAGACGAGGGGACGGGATGGGATGGTTTAGGATGGGATGGGCAGTGGACAGGATGGGACGGGGAACGCAAGTGGATTGGACGGGCGGGTGAGAATGAGGGCGGATGGCATGGAGAGAGAAGGAGATAGGCATAGCCATGGGCATCAGATCCTTGCTCGACGAAGCAGGAGGGGAGGAGCAATTCGCATCCCATCCCCAGTGATCCCAGAGACCAGACCAGTTGGCCACAGAGATTCGATCATTGGGAAAGAGGGAACCAGGACAGGGGAGAGGGAACGGCCGGGGGGTGGTGGCCAGGAACTGAGGACTGGGACTGGGACTGGGACTGGGTCCGGGTTGATGGGCTTTTCCACTCCCAGAAAGTGAAAGTCATATGGGCAGTCATTCAATGTGAGGTGAGGTACCTGACGGATACTCCATGCATCCATACAGCTTGCAACTGCTGCGTGGCAGTGACTGACTGACTGACGGTGACGGCGACTCCTGATGACTGAGGAAAGCCTGCCTTCAATGCCTTGCCTGCCTTGTGTTGATAACAGACTCAGGGAAACAGTACGGAGATACACGAAGGTGAGATGTTCTTACCCAGACATACTATGGAACAATCAGGCAGGCAGGTACTTGGCCATGTGGGAGGAAGCTGCAACAAGAGAGCAAAAGAAACAAAAGTGCAACTGCAATGTGTTCGGTACGTATCTCGGGAAGAAAAAGACGAAATGCAAGAGCAGCCGCCTCGGTGATTTGCGATGTGCGCACCTTTCGCCTTGGAGACTCTTGGCCTTATCGCACGGCAACGTTTCCACCGCCTGAAGCTTGGCACTCGGTACGGCAGCCGTGTCGAACCCAGCACACCTTCTTTTTCTTTGCCTTGCATCAGCAGCAGCACGGAAGGATGAATTGTCAAAAATAAAAAAGAATGAGCCCAGGGATGGCAGCCGATAGGCACGCATGCATGTACTGCAGCTGGATATCAAAGTACATACATACATTGCGGCTGTCATCTATCGTCAGGTACAGTCACAGACACCAGGCGACAGCATCGTACGCTGTGGCCACTGGGCATGGCAGCAAGGAAAAAAGAACACGCACGCGGGGGTCTCCGGATGGCTGCGGCTCCTGCGACGATGGCGGGATGCCCCGGACACTTGCAGCATCACGTACAATGAGGATGGCGTGGAAGGGAGGAGTTGCGTGTCCTCCGTTTTGAAGTCGAGGGGCTCAGGGCCTGAGTGTAGGACGAACGACGGGAAGGGCTTGGTCCGGTCCCTGAAGTCGAGCTTGGCTTTTGGGGGGTCTGGCGATGATCATTCTGTGCTGCTTGCAAAGGGGTGGAACGCCTCGTTGCATCTGCCGGTAATACCTGTTTGGCCCGACAGAGTACTGCCTTTTCATCATCATCATGAAGTTGCATGCTGCTGCAGATGGATGCAAAAGGCTGGCTCGATACCACCGACTATCAAAGGCGTCAAACCTGCGGTGTAAATCTGGCCCCAAACGTGCAGCTAATTGACTAATGACAAGACTTCCATTACGCGGTCCCATGTTTCCAAAATGAAAAAGAAAATGACGGCGAGGGGGAAAACGCAGCCAAAATTCAAAACGGACCGGCGGGACGGCAGCATAGCACCCCAACTGAGACTGCAACAAGTCTGCAAGTACCTCACACTGCACTCACATTGCACGACATGTTCCTCCCGCTGGGCTCCAGTTTCCCCAAATTCGCAGTGGCTCCAGCAGTCCCAAGCGTGATATTGCCCTCTCTCTTGGTGCCCCGTCCGTTGTTGGGGGGCCATGGCATGGTACATGGCTCCATCAGCCGTCACCGGTGCCGGAGCATGTACCACCGCACAACATTGGAGACTTGGAGATTGGAGATTGGGGCTTCTTTACAGGGACAGAGCACAGTGCCTGCCAAACTAAGCTCAAGCTCAGCAGGAAGCGTGGAATTTAGCGGCAGTTACGGATACACACTACTCCTGTAAGAAGACTGCTGCAACATGCTGCTGGGGACACACAACAACACGGCGTGTTCGATGTTGTACTTGTTTCTGTACGTGTACTTAGACTCTGCATGTACGTATCCTCGGTACCGTCGTCGGCCTCTCGTCGCTACCGCTGCCGCGTCCCAGCAAGCAATCACCAAATTGGCGCTAGCAAGGCAGCGTCAGCATGGCAGGCCTGGCAGCAAGGGGTCTCGTTCTGTCTTAGCCTGCCCGCCTGTGCTATCTGGCCTTCTGTGACATCATCCGAGAGGGTTCTCGACTTCCTCAGCGTAATGTCTCTGCATCAGAAGACCTTTGCGAGACAGCGCTTATTCTTAAAGCCGCCGCAGAGGCAAGGGCCTGTATGTTCCAGCGGTGCATTGGTGCCCGAGCTGCTGCTTCTGCTGCTGCTGCAGGAGAAGGAGCACATCAGAAGAAACTAAAGAGGCAAGGGGAAAGAAGGAACATGAGCAAGTGAAGGTGTGAGACACGCTGATCCGGAGCCAAGTCCACAAGCTTAAACCGCCTCCGACAAGCTCACCTGCCATGTCTTGTCAACGCCAATGTCAAGTCAGTGTCAGTTGAGGAAGGCAGATTGATACCAACATGAACTTGCCCAAACACAGGCTGGTCGGCTATCACGTCTATTGACTTTATCCGTCTCGCTCAGGAAGTGCCACTGCTCATCACTCCACCATCGCAACCTAACGACTCGTTCTCTGCGAGTCCGCATGGCTAATACCAATACCGACCCAACCAGACCCCACCGCCGCCGGAAGCTGTCCATTGTATGCGCTGGTCGGTAATCGTGTGGTCCCGGGTCCCCAACAAGGCCAAGGAAACTCACCTCGCGCACGTCGGTCGGCCTCATCTCTCACGAGGCCTTGGCTACATGCCCGTCGTTGGATCCTACTCGTGTTCTGTGCGTTGTTCTTCCGCTGGCCCCTCCCGCCGCCCGCTCATATCCACCCTCTTTCTTCGGCTTCATTATCGTCATCGACACCACGGACCACAACGTACCCGTAACGAATTCCCGCGTGGCCTGCTCGTCGTCAGATACGGCACCTGCAAAGAGGAAAAAGACAAGGGACACAAAAGACGGTGCCTGACACGGTGGCCCGCATACTGCCGTCGTGTACTCGTACCGCTCGCATACTGTGCCTACCTTGCCCTCGTCTCATCAGCCTTTGGCTTGTCTCCAGCGCCTCAGAATTAAGGTAGTGGACTGGGGATCTGTCTGACACGCTCGCTGATCGCCATCATCCGTTTACTGCGGTGTTTTACCCATATAGCCCGCAGAGGGGTCATCCCGACCCTGCTGACCCTCAGCCGCCTGACAATGGAAGCCTCCAAGCCAGCGGAAGCCTCATCCATAGTGCTACGGACGACTGCCGGTAATGCCCTATCATGGCCACTCAGAGGCTGAATAGGCGCCCGTTCCAGGGGATGCTCCTCGCGCCGGCGGACGGGATTGGTGAGCTGAGACACGAAGCTCACGAACCACTCTCGAGTCGCCCTCCTTGCCTCCTCCCTCCCACCAGAAAGCCTCCACCCCTCTCCTCCCGCCTTCCTCCTCCATCGGAGTGGCGGAATCCAGGAGATGAGGGACGGGGGTTTGGACGGGGACCTCATTACGGGTGCAATCACAACATCAGCTTGGCCTTTTAGAGGT